ATATTTTGTTATAAAAAATAATTATTCTATTATAATTCAATAAATTACATAAATTGTTTTCTTAATTTTATCACCGTCAAATGTATTGCGTAAGGTTCACGCATGCAATTTGTTGTATTCGATGAGTTTTGTATGTTTTCTCTTGATCAGAGTAGTAAATATTCGATTTTGATCTTACATGAGTGATTGTACAGGTGATAGGTGAATTTTTTTGTTTTCTGGAATCCAAGTTTTGTGAATGTGATGATACGATATGTGATCATTAGTCAAATTGTTTTCTTGATGCTTATATTTTATTTACTATTTGATATTTAATCTATTTTAATTGATTGTGCGCTTGTTGGTAGTAGTTTTTTCTTCTTAGTATGGAATGCATATAGATTTGCTTCGATAATGGATTCTTGATGCTTATATTATATTTACTTTTTTCATATGTCATTAGTTGATTATGAAATCATTTATTTTTGCAAATATATTTTTGCAAATGTATTTTTGCAAGTAGTAGTGGTTTGATGTAAGTTATACTTTGCACACCGTATCTGTTAACATTTATATTGATTATTTAGTGAAAAAACACTAAACAGCTCACTAAGGGTAAATTGGTCATTTTAACTTGTTCTGTCATGTCTTACCAAACGCTGAACAGCTGTCATGTCCTGCTTTGTCATGTACTGTTCTGTCATGTCATGTCTTGTCTGCGTACCAAACGCTTAACGACATGACAACTAAATACTACAATTTTTTTAATGACGAAAATCTTCTATCTTAGATTTCCATGTTTTATTCATGTCCATCGTTACATGAATATATATTATCAGATAACGTGATCTTGTATAAAAAAAAATTGAAATATAAAAGAATCTAATGTGTTTTAAATGGAATATGTCAAAGGAATTTGATTTTGAATGGATTTGAATGGAATGTTATCAAGTTTGACCATTTGTTTGACAAAATATTGGAATGAAATTTGTCTGTTTGGTTCACATAATGTGGCTCTGGAATTGGAATGAAATATTGATAAATGATCAAAACTCTTTTTTAAAAATTTTGAAACTGAAATTCAACTACTGTGGTTCAGATCGGTGGTAGTTGTCAGTGGTTCAAATTACGGTGGTAAGCGATGGTTTATATCGGCGGTATCCAGTGGTGGTCGGCGGTGGTTCAGATCGATGATGTCGACGGTGGTTCAAATTTAAGTAGGGTAGATGAGGATAATTTTATCTTTATGAGAAAATGGGATAGAATGAAATTGAATTCCTTCTTAATTGTGACTGAATGACCAAATTCATGAATGGTGGAATATGTGGAATTCAATTCCATTCTATAGGCAAACCAAACGTCTAAATGGAATTTGGTCAACGAAATTAATCATCCATTTTCATTGAATTCCATTGGAATCCTGCGAACCAAACTCTCCTAAAAGTCGGCGACAAGTAGTGGTGGAAGTAGATTGTGTGGTCATGGTTCAAGCTCTTCAAAGCAGTACGAAACCAAGCTCGGTGCTTGGTTTTGTAATCCAATACTACAACGAACTCCTTAATCAAACCAGCTATACTTCGATTCTTTTTGTTACGATTTGCAAACACAATTGCCAATCATATTGCTAGGGAGTCATGAAACAACTATTCTCCGACGTTTTTATGTCTCTGCTTGTTCAAGTTTTCTGCTTCTAATATAAATGATTTATTTTATTTACAGAAACTAAAAAACTACTATATATAATACAGATACAAATGACATTTTGTAAATGTTTTCATTTTTGCTTTTACTTTATAATTTTTACTATATACTTTTATCATATTAATACATCAAAATTACATCAGTAAATAAAAAAAATACATATTTTGTACATTTTAATAAAAATATATTTCCAATGCCTTTAAAATGATATAAATATTAAGTGCTATTAATCTTTTTACTTATTTTAATATTACTACAAATAAAACAACACTTAGGATATCATAATTGCTACTTGTATTTTTATTAGAAGGGTACTCGTGTAATGTAACGAGATTTATGTCGATTTTAATGTTTCGTTTTATTTTGTCTCAGTAGATGCTATAATATGATTTTTGTGGTTTTAAGAAATAAATAAAATATAAATTTAAAGATATCATAAAATTTTGAAAATAAATATATCGATATCAGCATCCAATTAACTATTTAAAAGTTATTGTTTTTGTGTGATTATTTTAATTTAATTTTTTTATTATAATCTAATTTAGATTTAATGACAAAGTAATTTATTTTTTTGATTAATAATATTATTTTTTAAAAGAATAATAATTAAATATTTTGTTATAACTCAATGATTATCTTAATTATATTTTAAATTTTTAATATTTAAAATGAAAAGTTTATCTTGTATTTGACTATGTTTACGTGCAGTTAGTTACACGAATTTAAATATGAAGTTTTAATAAGTTGTACTTAAGCACAATTTATTTGTAATCCTGAATTTGAAGTAATATACATCAATAAACAATATTTCATGCAGAAATATTGGTTTTTAAGAGTTTTCCGTCAAATGTTTTATAATATAGCATAAATTATTACTAAATGGGTACTCGCACAACGTAACGAGATACATCTCGTTTTGTTTATTATTTGTTTTTGTCGATGTTATAAAACGATTTAATGTGGCTTTAATCTTAAAATTTTGAAAAATATATATAGATATTAATATCAAATTAACCATTTAAAAGTTCTTGTTTTTATAACTTTTTTTAATTCAATTTTTTTATCATAATTTAATTTAGATTTAATAACGACGTAATTTATTTTTTGTTTAATAATACAAGTTTTTATAAAAACAATAATTAAGTATTATGTGATAACTCAATGATTATCCTAATTATATATCAACATTTTTTATATTTAAAACGATATGTTTATCCTTATTTGATCATGTTTATCCACTGTTAGTTATACAGATTCAAACATGAAGCTTTAATAAAATGTACTTGCGCACAATTTAATTGAAATCTTGAATTTTAAGTAACGTACATCAATAAACAATACTTTATATATAAAAAATGATTTTTAATATTTTTTATCAAATGTTTTATAATGTAGTATAGATAACTGATCCTTCTTTAATTTGAAATCATGTAGCACTACTTTGGTGTCCAACCAAGGGCACCATTTTTTCCCCTTCCAACCATGGCACCAATAGTAACATAAGAAAATGTCTAATAATTAAATACATGATAAAACATTTTATGTGTTATTATTATATAAAAGCTACAGTATGTAATTACTTGTTATAGTAAAAAATTGTTAATCTTCATTCCCTTATAAGTATATATTGTGAAATATCGATCACAATTAAAACAAGTAACCGAGTAATAATTTAAAAACACAATTCATACAATATTAAAATAAGGAAGGATTTGCCGTGACTACAATAACCCGTCATATACGGGAAGTTTTGCCGGTTCCTTTGTTAGTCAGTTAGGGCCCATGAGCATGCATTTTGGCAGGAAGCAACTCAGATATACTTGTTCCTAAACGGTTAAATTTGCACATCCATTGAACGAAAAATATAGTAAGTTTTACTCCAGGTTTACTTAAAACAACATATTGTCGTTTTTGATGTACAAGTTATCATATAAGATGAAATATTTTACAACAGTTATATTTTTTATGTATATATGTTACATATATAGAAAGAGAATCAAATGAAAAGGCAGTCAACTTATGAAAAACACGAGAACGACAAAATGATTTGTGATTTATGGTACGTCTAGAAGGGCGACATTGAATATCAATGTACCTTAACGTACGATAGCATATTTAACAGACATTGCCTATGAAATGTTTAACATATACGAACAAAATGGTTCCAAGCAGTGTTGATGCAATGGTAGAATGATCGATCGAGCCCTCTTTCATTTCAAACAGGGTGTGCACAAGCGCACAGATACACTCTCAATATCAAGGGCCACTCAGGGGTTTCTACTATTCCCACAAAAACTTGAATTCATTACGGAACCCGGTATATACACACACACTAATTAATAGTACAAAATATTAATAAACTTAAAAGTACAGACAAATGCCTTCTTCGTTGGTGTATTTGGATATGGGTTTCGTAGACCGATAGAGATTGTCGGTAGTCAACTTTTTAACAAAATAGTACAAAATATTAAGGGAAATTGACTGAAATAGTCAATTTCTCCACCCAAATTCACGTATCACCCAAATTTTCAATCAAAATCTCATTTTAGTCAGAGTTTACACAAATACACAAGACATTTACATAAACCCAGATTAAAAATATAAAGAATGTTTACGCAAATTCACGTAAGGATCCATATTTGTGTAAAGTTTTTCTTTTAAATATGAAAGAGGACTTTTATGCAAATGCGTACAATATTTGTGTAAACTCTGTTTAAATTAAGAATTTGGTGCTTTAACCATTCAACCATAGATGCTTAGCGGGTCATAGTGAATGACTAGATTCCGATTCAAATGAAATATTTCAACTAAAGCAATGAGATGCTTAAATGGAATTCTTTTAGTTCTAATAAATCAGTAGAAATTTAAGTTTTGTATTTTAGAATTGAAAGAGATATTGAGAGAGATCAAGAATTCTCACTATTTCTTAGATGTCTAGACTCAATTCAATTCAGTGGGATCTTTCATTCACATTTTTTTTCACCAAGAACGTTTTATAAAACTTTTTTGACTCCCGAATTTCGAGTATCCTACTTCCACACAAAGCAGCTTCGTCACTTTCATGTACCCATCGGACGACAGCCCTTTCTTCCTTAGTGACCCATTCACTATGTGTAGATTAATTGTGGTTAAAAAGTGAATTTGGTTGAAAAAATTGATTCTTTCGATTTAATTTGATATTAAAAAATGGATAAATATCTTTTATTTGAAAGGGGAGGGATTATTGGGGGTGTGAAAGGCGTGAACAAAAGCAGACAAAATTGGAAAAACTTTTCCAAATCGACTTTGGTAAAGCTGGCAATTAGTACCAAAAGCTTCCCAATCAGTCGATTTAACAGACCCCCTCAATTATTTTCTCATTTTTTGCTTCAATTTCTCCATTTTTCCACCATTACAATATCAGGAGCTGAGTAGGTGATGGTTGGTTAGAACAATCGTTGCAGTTGAAGTTATAGAAGAAATGGGTGCCTGTGCTTCAACACATCGCAAAGCTTCTGCTATGAAGGTACATGTATCATCTGGATTTAATCGTAAACCAGACGATCATCCCTTCATCCCTCCTTCACCTACTAAAGAAAAACCTCCGATCATCAATGGCAATGTTGCTGTTAAACCTCAGTGGCCTCCTCTTCATTCAACCGAAAGTTCTCGCGATTTTGGTATGGATTTTATGCATACAGTCTAGATTAATACGTGTTTATTATGATTTTTTAGGGTTTTGTTTGTTTAATTCGTGGTCTAGTTTGATTTAGTTGTGAGTGTTCTTGCTTATTTCTATACATAGCTTTGATTTGACTTGGTTTTCTTTTTGTTGGTTTAATTTTCACTGTGATCCCTTGTGAACATCTGTGATTTGTGATTTTGAGTGGTGGATGTATTTTGTCCTTTTGTGTTCTTTGTTTGTTTCATGGCTTCTTTGCTTGATTCTTACTGCAGCTTTTATTAGGGTTTCTGACTTTTTATTGAATTATTATAACTGAAATTTATATCATAATAGCACCTATGGAAAGAAGTTGTCATATTCTTTGCTTGATCCTGCAAAGGGGAAAAGATGGAGCTCATCTAGAGTTCTTCAGAAGATATATGCAGCTTGTTGAGCACCCAGTAACAACCCCACACACACACACCAAAAAAATGGTCCGAATCTAGCTGGTGTGGGACTAACACGCCCCCTCCATTGGAGGATAGACAGGCACAAAGGAGTTCCACATATATAGAGACGAAATGGTCCAAATTTAGCCGATGTTTGAAAGCTATTAGCCAAGTCTGTTGTGTTCAACTTGAATTTTGTCAAGAATTGTGTTGTAAATCCATTTCTGTGAGGAAAAGATTATTCTTGACTGTTTGAAATACTATTCGCTCAGCTTTTAGTTATGTGTGCTCTACTTCATGTTGCAGCTAGTAAAGAGGAGACGTTTTTCGATTCCCAAGCATGGTTAGAGTCGGATTGTGAAGATGATTTCATGAGTGTTAATGGAGGTAAGATTTGTTTTCACGTATATAGCTCCCGTTTTTCTCTCATTACGAGTCTTTTATGGAAACAGTCTCTCTACTGCTTTAGATGTAGATAATGTTTGCCTACATCCTGCCCTTTCTAGACCCCACTCCATGTGAGATTTAGGGTCTGTCTGTTAGCAGCTTAATGAGTTTAATGGGATTCACAACTTATTCGGTCAGCTATATATGACTTTTTGGCAGTAGCTTAATAATATAGAAAGTGGCTTATTCATTAAGCTTATGGGGGAGAGCTTTATGCAGAAAACCAAATTTTTCTCCAAACTTGCCCCTCCCAATTAAAAAAAATACGCTCCTTCCATCTAGGAAAAAGCTCTCTCAAACAAAAATCTTCCTGATCTATACAGGCAATCTACACATACAGCTTTATCCATATACTTTTTTTATGAAAAACCAACCAAATGGCCCCTTACCGTGTTCGATTGGTTTGGTTTGCTTTATTTTTCTCATTGTTGTTTGAACTGAATTGACATATGTGCAGAATTTACACCGTCAAGAGGCAATACTCCGGTACACCATAGCTTCTCTGCCGGAATCCTGCGAACCAAGGGAGGAGCCGCCACCATTGATGACCAGAAACCTTCTATTACCCCATCTAATCCAACAAAGAAGAAAATGAGACTTTCCGATCTTTTCAATGAAAGCCTAAGAGAGAAGCATGATGTCGATGAGGAAAATGATGAAGCAGCCAATGAAAATGGGGTGGTCGGGAGACATGGAGCGGTGGCTGTAGATGGTGGTGGTGGGGGGTTTAAGCCAAAGAGGGAGAGGTGGGCGGAGTCTGTGCAGGTGCACGGCTGCTTACCGAGATTGCTTTCTAGCTGTAGGCCCGTAACTCCTCAACAAACAGAAGGACAAACCAAATGAGGCCCGCCCCAGAGCAGGGCTAGGATCGTTGTTGGGTTTTGTTGGTTCCCTGTCTCTATTCGTGTCGATTGTATAGTAATGAAATGCGGTGCATCCGGATATCTGATTATTACATAAAGGCAAGTATACGTGTATGTTTTTCTGGATATCTAAAGGCCAGATTGTACCGAAACAGAACAACTTTTTAAAAAAATGGGTGATTTCCATGAGAAGCAGGTGGTTGCTCTGGGATTAATCGCATAGCGGATTGGATATCTAGGTTAATAAAAAAAATAAAAAATGGGTGATTCCAGGCTTCGTCCAAACTGAACCATGGCAAGTCGTGCCACGACTGTAGGTTTCGTCCATAGCCTTGAGGTAAACCTTTTGATGGCTATAAACGCATATGTAAATTGCATGACTCGAATCTGGGTTTATTTTATTTTATATTTTTAAGAACAAATTTTAGAGCTACCATTTTTATTTTGGATGATTTAAGATAGAACCGGACTTTTGTTCTTTCATATCTATACTATATTGTAAAGCATTTAACAAAAACTTTTAAAAACTATTTTTTATGCATGAAGTACTGTGTATTGATGCATATTACTTAAAATTCAAGATTACAAGTAGATTGTGCGTAAATACAATTTATTAAAGCTTAATATTTGAATTTGTGTAACTAACTGTAAATAAACATAATCAAATAGAGGATAAATATCTCGTTTTAAATATAAAAATTTAAAATATAACTAGGACGATCATTGAGTTTCAACAAAATATTTAATTATTATCTATATAAAAAGTTATATTATTAAACCAAAAATAAAAAAATGAATTAAAGAAATACACAATAAAGTGAGAAATTTTAAGTAGTTAGTTTGGTACCAATATAAATAACTTTTTTTCAATATTTTATATTTTATTAAAAAATAAAATATTATCACTTTCTCAAAACCACATAAAATTGTATTATAATATCGACTGACAAAAAAAAACGAAACATTAAAATCGAAATGCATCTCACCACATTGTGCAAGTACTCTTATAGTTCCTTAAAAAATGAATTTGACCATAAAATCTCTTAAATGAAAAAGGTTTTTTAAGTTGGTTTCCTAAGGTAATGATTTTAAAATTTTATTTTACAAAATAAAATATTTCTTTTTTATGTAAGTTTTCCGAAAATGTATGATACCATATAAACTAATTGGCATGTTTCCTTCAAGTGATACCAATACTCGTTAGGGGAATTTCGTTATTGAAAAAAATATAGAGTAGTTTTTTTTATAACAAGAATAACAGATACGTAAAATATGGTATAATTATGATACATATATATGTCAATTATTGAGTTTGTTTACAAGTAATATAATGGTAAGGTTCCAAAATTGTATCCAATGAGACTGATTTTACTAAGAATAAGAGATTTTTACGAACTTTTAGTGTAAAGTTATATTTCATAAAAAATGGTTGTTAAGAGAATCAAATAACAAGTAATAAAAAATGGGTACGGGTGTACGTTTTCCCCAAGAGTGTAATAGTAACTTAAATGATTGACAAAAAAGGTCACAAGATAACCCTCATACGACTTCCTCCTCTTAAGCTACATCGTATGGGTTACGATTATGGTTTTATCATAAAGTATCCACAAATGCTAACGTTCGGTTTGTCAACCTTACTAAGTAGATCTCAGCTCAAGCAGTATGGAGAGATGTGCATATCTCTGTAACACACCAACTCGATCGGCATTTGAATCTTAATGCGATTATGCAAAAACCCATGTCTCTATGTGATTATTGAAGTTTTTTTCAAACGTTTTTGCATTTAGTCAAATATCTAACATTAACACACATAAAATAATCAGCTTGTCCATGTTGAGTTAAAGCTTCAACTCGAATGATTAAACTGAAGAATTACAAAAAGTGATTAACACCCAAGCGTTACATTTTGACCTTTCTGCAGCTACAACTATTTTTTGTCATGATGGTGACTCGCCACAACACACCAGCTCTGAAATCAACACATACACTAATCAAAATACAAACTTTTATGCTCTAACAACTCGAATGAAGAATAAATAAATAAAAAGGGGAAACACGAACACATAAAAGAAAAACACACACTAAAAAAACTTGCTAACAGAGTGTAAATAACACTCAAAATAAGAGTTATCACTTTTTTATGCTACTGTAAAACATTTATTACAATTTACAAATTATATCCAGTAAATAGAAAAATTGGGTATTAAAACCGATACACGTTTGGATTAACAAATAGTACCCAATCTATAAAAACAACTGCGCACTAACACAAATATTATTTTGAAATAATATTATGTATAGTCGGTAAATAATTGTGTAACATTAATAATATCTCCAACAAATTCTCCAAAATAAAGAAATTATAGATTTTGAACATCTTTTTGCTCCAACAAATTCTTTAAAGTTTTCTTCTAAACGAAAAAAGTAGAAGAGAGAGTGTAAACTCATATCAAACAGCTATGTTATTTTAGAAATTTGGAGATTCAAATATTTTTTGCTTTAACAGTTATGCTAAACTCTCATCTAAAATAGAGAAAAACACAAACATAATGGAAAAATCTCCAAATTTGGGAGAATAAAGAGAACTATAGCATATATGTTGAAAATGCTCTGAAAATCTCTAAATTTGGAGAACTCAAAAAATAATTACCATTAGAGAGAAATATTTTTCTTTATTATATTCAACCAATAAGAATTTTTTAAATTAAATGTTTAGTAGAGATAAATAATTTTAATTTAAATATATGAAATATTAATAATATAATGAATGTTATAACCTTCAAAATAAATAAGCGTTTAGAGTTGAATGCAGTTTTTTTAAAGATTTTCAATTTGATTTTCCAATTTTTAAAGAATCTGTTAAAGATGCTCTTAAGAAGGTAATTTGACCACTGGTATCCTATATAAGGCCGAGCCAAGTCGGGTTTAGGGTACGTTTGGACTCACTTCAACTCACAGCAAGATATAGAAAGTACTTTTTATATACTTCAAAAATATATATAGAGAAAATATTTTTTATATACTTCAAATGTGTGATGAGTGTGTGAGTTTATTTGTTGCATTTGTTGTATATAACATTTATATATTTCATAAAAAGGATATAGAAAATATAGTTTATTAGAGTGTCTCTAATAAGTTCTTTAAGATAGAGAAAATGAAGATTTTGTTACTATATTATTTTATAAGACAATGAAAACAAAGATTTTGTTTTCTTTATTGTTATCTATACTATAATATAAAGCATTTGACAAAAACTTTTAAAAACTATTTTTCTGCATGGAGTACTATTTAATAATGCATAATACTTAAAATTTAATATTACAAGTAAATTGTGTGTAAATACAACTTATTAAAGCACCATGTTTGAATTCATGTAATTAACTGCGGATAAATATAATTAAATAGATGATAAACATCTTATTTTAAAATATAAAAAATCTAAAACATAATTAGGATAACTATCGAATTTTAACAAAATAATTAATTATTATTTTTATAAGAAAATATATTATTAAACCAAATATAAATTACTTCGTTATTRAATCTAAATTAAATTATGATAAAAAAATTGAATTAAAAAAAGTTATAAAAACAAGAACTTTTAAATGGTTAATTTGATATTAATATCTATATATATTTGTAAATTTTTTTATGATATCTTCAAATTTATATTTTATTCAAAAATAAAAATATTGTCATATTTTTAAAATTACATAAGACCATATTATAACATCGACCGAGATAAAGAATAAAACAAAATATTCAAATCAAGATGTATTTCGCTGCATTGTACAAGTATCCTTCTAGTTTAAAATAAAAGACAATTAAAGAACTCTATATTTAGAGAATTATCTTATCCATCCATTTTTATTGGGATATTATTAAAGAAAATTACATTTTTAGTCCCTGTGGTTTGTTGAACATTTTTCTTTTAGTTTTCATGGTTTTGAAATTACAATTTTTATTTTTATGGTTTGTAATTTATTGTCTTTTTCGTTCTTATGATTTAATTTTTTTCTCTCGTACTTATGATTTAAAATTCATTTCTATTTTGGTCTTTAATACTTATAAGTAGCGTTTTGGCTCGAGAGACGAAAATATAAATGAATTGCAAATTATAGGGATGAAAACCGAAATTTTAAAACCACAAGGATGAAATCCACAATTTTTAGTAAATCAGGGGGACAAAATTATTGTTATTTTATGTAAAGTTTTAGTGTATTGGATGATAAAACTATGAAATATTGTAAACTTTAATTAATATTAAAAATGGAGAAAATGTGAAAAATGAGTGCATCTCTTTTAAGTTTTTTTTTAATTAACTTTTAATCATTTATTTTTTAAGAAATTATAGAGAAAATATTGGAACTGAATATAAAATAATTCGACTGACCATCATCGTCCCTCTTCCTCTCCTACCCTCTTTCTTCTATTCGACCATCGTCACCCACTGCCATTTGGGTTCGGGTTTAGGTTTACCATATAAGATAACCGGATAGAGAGGTTTTGTTTCTGAGAATGGAGATGATAGACATATAGGACAAAAACAAGGCAAAAATAAGATAAAATAAAAAGACCAATATACCCTTTAACAAATATTATATATAATCTAACAAAACAAAAAGAGAAAAAAACAAAAAAATTGTAAAAAGAGCAAAAACCCTCTGAGCTAACGAATCTATTTAACGGACGTTAGTTTGAGGGATCAAAAGTGAAAGAAAATTACAACCACAATGACGAAACTGTAATTAGTTCAAAAGATGAAGGAAAGTTGATAATAAATTACAACCAAATAGATCAAAAATATAATTTACTTTCTATATATAAATATAACTTTTAAATATTATATGGATGTCTTGTTTTTTTTTTCTTTTTATTGCTAAATTACTAAAAATAAATATTCATTTAATAAAACATGTTAAGAGATCTTGTAATAAAAATCACAAATAAAAATCACAATATTCACAAATTTTTATTATGTATATGTTTTAATTTTTCCTTTTCCACCCGATTCAACTTAAATTATTAAGTTGAATAAGTGCTCACGAGAAAAAAATCAGCATTATCACTTACTTATCAGACAAGAACATATGTGTTGTTGCCCTCATTTACTGGGTAAGACTCTCGGTCATTGCCTATGATCTTACTGAGTAATATTTTTGATCCTTAACATATGCATTTGGTAAGGTAACGTGACAAGATAAGCCCTTACCAGGGTAAACGTGTGGTAAATAACCCTTTAATACAATATATGTCGTATCAATAATATATTTCAATCGATAAGGTAATCTTATTTTGTTTGACATATCTTGTGCTATCCCTAGAGAAAATTTACAGATCAACTCTTGCGACTAAGGATGATAAACTAAAATCAGATAAAATTATGAATTTTCTTACCCAAATACTTATCAGAAGCTGGTTAAGTTTTGCAACGTCAAAAATGATCAACTGTGCAATAGACATCCTACCCAATTGTTGATCAATTATGCAATAACGTCCAAAATACATCGAACATATATTTATTGGTTCTACTTTGATATTGTAATTGTAAGCGAACCTACGCTCATGATAAGAGGCAAACCTATGAGGGCTCAAGTGAAATCCGTGCATCCATTCAACTAATTTTAGCAAGTAGATACTTTTTTGCAGCATGAAAGGTGCAACGCTAAACTTTGGGAGGTACTTCGAGATATTTGAAAATGCAAGAAACATCAATAAAAAAATCCCTCGAATGGGTAATTGGGCTTAAAACACATCAAACAACTTTACGAGCCTTTGATCCACATGCTCAACAAAAAGTCTTATGTTAACTGCTAAAGGGTTTGATAGTTGTTGAATGATTTGATGCAGAATAATTAAGTGGTCAGAATGATCAAGAGATTCTTATTATAGTGTAAAATGAAATATACCTGTTTGGTAATTATTTACAACGAAATTAGGGCGTTGAATGATTAAGGGAGACCCAAGATACAAAATCATTCAAAAAGTTTTCAAATTAGGGATTGTTTGTTTACCTCTTAATAGTTCCATTAAGAGGCAATATCTAAATCATTAAGAGACAATATCTAAATCATTAAGAAGTGAATCTTGTTCGGCAAAAAAAAAATCTGTCTTCTAATGGTTTCAAAACCCATTGTATGATTTTGTATCATGGATCTCCTTTAACCATTCAACACCCTAATTCCATTGTAAATAATTACCGAACAATTATATTTCATTTTGCATTATATCATTAGAGTCTCTTAATCATTCAACAACTGCCAAACAACCCATAAGAGACATAATTTTTTATACTAAATAAAATTCACCTCTTGACGATTTAGAGACCCTCTATTAATAAAACTATTAAGAGATAAACAAACAGCCACTAAATATTATATGTAGTGAAATTTCTCTTCAATATCCATATATGAAAAATAAATTTAAAATAATTATTGATATAAGATGTGTAATCATATCTTATATTTTATACGATTACATATAATTATAATTTATATTTTATTTGGATTCCGGAATAAGATCAGCTTGTCGATTGAAAAGGGTGAAGGCTAAGCTTAATAGCTACGCAGAACTCCCAAACCTTTTTATTTATTTATTTGCGAACGGCTGTATACAACTCCAATTTTGGATTCTCCGTCGACGATGCCGGAGAAGACGACGTCCATTGATTACGTGATGGAGGCCGCCTCCGGTCCTCACTTTTCCGGCTTACATCTCAATGCCCGATTCCTTCCTTCTTCAAGATCACCATCCTCCTCCCTTCTTGCCGACTCCGCCTCAGCACTCAAACAGCCATTCGTCATTGGTATGTTTTTAAGTTGATTATTTTAAATCGATTACTCGTGTGCGAGTTTAGGTTTTTTGAAATGTTACTCAGTTGTTACGATTTTATGTTTGTTTCTGTGGATTTTTTTTTCTTCTTAGGGGTTTCTGGGGGTACTGCTTCGGGTAAGACGACGGTTTGTGACATGATTATTCAACAACTTCATGATCATCGTGTTGTGCTTGTCAATCAGGTATGTATTTTTAAATTAACTTTCGAAATGCAATTATATTATCTGATTGTGAGATATCCTATTTTTAATGAAACAGTAACGGCTGATTATAGAGTTTTCAAGTAACACTGTCCCCATGGTTAAAGGCGTATAGGTATAGTTAAGGTTATCTTTAATGCGTAGGGAGGATATACTTTAGCATATTGGCTTATGCGGACATCTAGAGTTCATTCTTATTATTTTTATATTCCATTTGATGGTGGCGTTTGGAGCCTAGCTTGATAACAGCGAGGGGTATTGTTTGTAGTGAATTATGACTAGGATTTACAAAAAGATTATAATTTTCCTTGATGGCAAAAATTATTTAATTTATTTTATGCTCAGAACGTTCAAACACCCCTGATAAGTATAAAAATTACAAAAAACAGGAGAGGGTACTGTATCTGGTAGCCCCTTTACTCTCACAGTCTCACTGCTGTGTATTCCTAAATCTCTAATGCATTTCAGGCACAATCAACTTGTAATTATAGGTGCTAGTAAACATCATTATTAAATGAATGATTGAGGATTCATATGCTGTATCAATTGTATATGTTCTGTGGAAACATCATGTTGTACTGCCTATTTTTTTTTTAAAGTTTGCATCACTTGTTGTGACTCTGATGTTAAGAAAGAGTGTCCCTGTCATAACCCTGATGTTGTAAAGAGTTATTGCATTGTAAAAGAACCATCAAACAAGTTGAGTGAGAAGTTTGCCATCCGATCGGTCAATAGTATGAGTATTATAGCCTTCCTAAAACTGAACTATGGATCTGGTGTGACACGCGAGGGTTTAGATATCCTTTTGACCCTAAGTTTCTAAAAGTGTGTGAGGATGGGTCTGATTTTGATTATTTGACGAATTGGTTTTAACATGGTAGATGTGTAATTTAGTTTTTCAATGATTGAAGATACATGGTAGATACGAGATTTCTGGTGTTTTAGGTATTTTTATCAAGTTGTATGCATTAAGTATTTTGTCGTATAATTTTTTCTTTATGCTTCTTTCTTTGTTGCAAATGAAACCTTCTATATTTGAATGGGAAGTATCCTTGAAGCTTTTAATATGCTTTTTCTGTCTGTTATTTAGGATTCATTTTATCGTGGCTTGACTGCTGAAGAATCTGAACGTGCCCATGAGTATAATTTTGATCACCCTGGTAATGTTCTTATTGATATAGGGTTGTGCCAGTTTTTATTTTGCTTGCTATAATGCTGCCAATTGATGCCATCAGTGACAGCAGATGAATGCTTGCTCATACTCTTAAATAAAAAAATGCCGTTGTTTGTAGATGCTTTTGACACAGAGCAAATGCTAGAGTGTGTTGAAAAACTCAAACAAGGAAACCCGGTCCATCTTCCAATATATGACTTTAAAAACCACCGCAGATGTTCCGAGTCCTTCCGCCAGGTATTTGCTTCTGAACATGTTCTCTTGAATGGTATACATGTCAAATTTGTTGTATTGCTTCATCTGACCAGAAAAGCCTATAGTTGCAGTTTTGATGATTGTGTTTTAAGTATTCGGCTGAGTTCTGTATTTTCCACTATCTAGACAAATTTACGTTTATGAAACACATTTCATTTAGGGGCTGTTTCTTTTTTCTTGACTTCCAAAGTAGAACGGTATTTCTTATTTTGTAGAACTTGCTAGGGTTATATTTTACGGCTCAAGCAGGACTGTGTTAAATATTCTCCATTTTTCCTCACGAAATGCATTAAATGGTCTTAAATCCCTTTAATGTTGTTGATTGCAGAATCTTAATAGTGTGTATCTCCTCCCTTTAAATGGTATACAGACAACCTGGACCTTGTGCCATATTCCCCTTATGGGCTTGGTTAATATCTTATACAAGCATAGTGCCCCTCCATTTTATGAAGGAATAGAAGAGGGCCTTATCATTAAATTTATCTTCTAAATCTGTATGATTGATACATTTTTTGAACCAATTGAGAGGCCACATTTGGTAATTGTGAATTTTGGGCCAATATTCTTACACCAAAGAGCTGTGTTTGACTTTTGTTTATACCTAAAACTCTAAAGTTTATGTTACTTAATCTTATGTGTATATGTGTTTGATTTGTGAAGTTTATCCCAACTAGAAGCTGATACTACTCTTGCATTTATATTTTACACCATATTACCAAATAATGTGTTGCTTTTGCCATCATATTTTATAAGATTAGGTAATTTTCTCATTCTTGTTGTAGTCATGTTAGAATATTGTTACAGTTGGCAACAGAGATTAAATTGTTGACTAAATCTGGGGAGGTGTGGAGGGGGTGAGAAAAGTGGGGTGAGGCGGGTTGGGTGGACCGAAGGAAATGGAATTCAAGAGTGGTAATCCCGAATGCTTATATATCTGTACAAGCATTACCAAGCTCATATTGTTAAAGAATAAAGATTACATTTTTGACTTAGTTTTCGTGTGTTTTTCAGGTGAATGCATCTGATGTAATTATCTTGGAGGGAATACTGGTGTTTCATGACCAAAGAGTTCGTGACTTAATGAATATGAAGATATTTGTTGACACAGGTGTTCATTTTTTAGCATTCATTCTGTGAACGATAATTATTGCCATATTTTTGTGTAGCTTACATGATGATCCTTGCGAAGTACTATCTATTATTTCATGTTTGTGTTTTCTTGGTATTTAGCTTACATGATGATCCTTGCGAAGTACTATCTATTGTTTCATGTTTGTGTTTTCTTGGTATTTAGGTATTATGTTTTTCATTACCCCATAGCCTTGTTCTTTCTTAGATCGCTCATTAACCGGGTATCCTAAACATATTCGTTGTACAACTGTGAACTAGAATCTGGTATGTTTAGTATAATGATGTGTCATCTACAGAATCCGGTTATTAACAATGTAAGATGTTCCTATTTAGTCCGACATTCTATTGTGATGGTCGTACATGCTTCTTGGTGAAGGCTAATTTCTTTTGTCGTGTTAGTGTTGAATCTTAGATAGTTGCTTGTGATCTATAACTTCAGCTTCCTTTCTGCATATTTATTTGGTCTTTGTGTATGAATGAAGTCATCCTATACTCCCAAGTGGCTGTAATAAGTACCTTGTGGTTGAACCTCATTTCTTTTGTCTTCTGGTGCCCATGTTTCCCCCTTTTCGACTCTTTAAGTATCAGTTACTTTTGCAAAATTCATGTTTATTTGATCCCCCTGTCAGGTTCACTGCCTAGTAGTTTTCATTAAAGTTACTGTCTTCTATACCTTATCACTACACCAAATTATAACGAGCTTATCCATTTCATCCTGATTAATGACTTAATACCTTCTTTATTAGACATATCCATTGCCCTAAACAAAATCTCTTTCTTCCTTTTCTGTTGACCTAGATGCTGATGTGAGGCTTGCTCGTAGAATAAGGCGAGATACAGTTGAGAGGGGTAGGGATGTTAATTCTGTGCTTGAGCAGGTAAGTTCCTCTACTTTTTTAAAATCCTTAAGAGTATTTTTTTGGATTTTCTTGTGAATCTTGAATCATTTAGTGCTGACCAACACTTGATAGTTTTTTTCTTCTTAAAAGTCAAAATCCGCAATTGCCATTCTTTGGCTTTACGAGAGGATATATTGGTTTACTGCAGCACTAGAAACCTTCTTTTGGCTTTCTTGATTCATCTATAGCTTTATAGTGTGTCTGTGTGGTAGATAATTGCTAAGTTTCACTTGAATGAATAATTTCCTTCTTTATGTTTTTACTTAAAAGATAGAACCATATTCGTTGAAATATGCCGATAAGTAATGAATTGACATTCTAATACTGATATCAAATGGGCATTTGAATGCTTAATATATGTATCGATATTAATATAAATCAAAATCATTCCATCTGTGTTACTCCATCCGTCCGAGAAAAGAAGCAACACTTGGATTTTATGCTGTCCCCCAAAATGCAACTTTTCTTTTTTCTTGCTAAATTGTTAATCTAATTTTACTTTCTGTTCTTATTTAGGGGAATTTTTACATTTTACCAATGGCCCTTTTTTCTTAAAATTGATTGCCCATTTTACCATAATTAATTAGCTTTCTTTATAGAGGAGATTAGTAGACATTAGATTACATGCTTGATTTGATTATAGCGACTGAATATTGCATTAGGCATCTTTGGAAGAGACGACTATCTCATGAAAAACTCGGCTTTTTATTTTGATTTTCGTTGTTAGATTTCAATAAGATATGGTTTGGTTCCTCGTACTTTTGGGGACTGATGGCTGCAAGAGAAGTGGGAAGAGTTGGCGGAGAAATTGAAGATGAAAATTGGAGAGGTTTGATCTAAGATGATGACAAGATTCTCTGTTATGGATGAGAGGTTTGGGGGACAACTTGCCTCTATAGAAGAACCTTTGTGTAATTTGTTGGAGGCACACCTGAGCAAAAGCCATGGCACCAACCATGGTTGCCGTAGGGGCATCATGAAGAGAGGGAGAGAGACGAAATCACTGGCAACAAAGGGAAGGGAGTCATAATACAGGATACATAATTCTAGGTGAGGCCATTGAGGCCATCGACAATGAATTAGGTGTAGGGTGCCAATAGCATGGCTAGAGAGCGAGAGTTGCGAGATGTTAGACGTGGTCAAAGGTGGATGCAACAGGTAGGGTGAACGGTGGACCGTGGCTGTGGCAGCAAACAGCAAGGGCCCATCTAATGACAACATGACAGCTGTTAGTTTTCATTAAAATATCTTTTGGATTCTATCAGAAGATGATTTAGATTGTATGACTACCTATGATCACTGAAGAAATTATAGGTGGCATTTTGAAAATTTCAGCAGCTACAGGTTTCCATCAAGGGTCACCTTTTTAACTTAATAGCATGTTTGTTTGAGATGATAATTTGATATGGGTTTGAACTCTGTTGTTATTGCTTTTTGCTGCTGATATTGTCTTAGTGAACATGGTGGCAGAATTCATGTTTGATTATAAGTTTCGACTGGCTATTTAATATTTATTATCATTAACAATATGGAGTTCTATGATGAATAAATGGTGTCTTTTATCTGTGCAGTATGCTAAGTTCGTTAAACCTGCTTTTGATGATTTTGTTCTTCCATCGAAAAAGTATGCCGATGTTATCATACCACGAGGAGGCGATAACCATGTGGCAATAGACTTGATTGTGCAACATATACGCACAAAGCTTGGTCAACATGACCTTTGCAAAATATATCCCAACATATATGTAATTCAGACGACATTCCAGGTATTCACTTTGCCAGTTCCCTAACATTATCAGTGGACCATAACAATATTTTACATTCACCAACTGTCAACTAGGAACTACCTTTGGTTTATTACTTAGATTTCGCCAAGTACAGTACCACTTTTTATTAAATGGATTTTTACACAACTACAGGGATTATCCTTGACATAAAACGTATTATCCAACAAACCATTCAGGGGAAATGGAACCAACCAAAAAAAACTAAGTCTAGCAACTGGCTTGGATACATTACAAAAGTGAAAAAAAGTTAAAGAGTTAATGTAGTGTCCCATTTTTATAGAGGAATCTTGCCCTTGATTTGGTTTGTGTAGCATTTTATGCAAAAGAATCCTGTTCACATTGCAACGTCTCACAATAACATATAACTAATTATTGAAAGGAAACCCCACTATTTTTAGCCTGTTATGGATAGACAATCTTTATCTGGTACATATGTTTGCATTATGATACAATAGATGTATATTGATTCAAGATCCGTGTTACAGATTCGAGGCATGCACACATTGATTCGAGATCGAGAGATATCAAAGCATGATTTTGTATTTTATTCAGATCGACTCATTCGATTGGTACTTGACTCTCTACCCTATATGAAATTCTTAGGGGCTGATAGTTGAAGTCTTTTGAATGGTATTAAATGCCAATGATTAAATGAAATTGGTTCCAGGTTGTGGAACATGGCCTTGGTCATCTACCATTTACTGAGATGCAAGTAGTCACTCCAACAGGTATGATAGTTTCCGCGAGTTAGCTCTTCTTTTAGCCTTTTGTTTTTTCAAGAAATTATTTTACGTGTGGAAATGTACTGGATGCATATTCTCATGCATGCCTGTTAAAGTATTTTTGCTTGTATGGCTGTTGGAAGATCAGCAAAAGAAGGTTAATTTGCATGACTAAGAATACGCTATTATTTTTATCATTGATTTTTTAATTTTTGTAAAAACTTGAACAATAATCTATGTTTGTGTCCCATGGGACTCTTCTCCTGAGATCTACTAATATGCTATCATTCTTTCTCTCTTTTCCTTAAGAATTTGATCAAATATAGAAGACTTCCGAGTTATAGCAATGATATTGGGATGTCAAAGGGTGTTTTTAGCCACTATATGTTTTTTTGTGGTTCTGGGTGGGTGATGGTTTTTATGTATATTACCTTTTCTTTTAGGCAGGTTAGGGGAAGGGGGAGATGATGATGGCATTTCCTTCCTTGTTTTGTTCAGTTCTTCTTATGATTTTGAATTGCAAGAGCTTTTTTTACACCATCTTGTGTACTTTTCCAGTTTAATGAAATCTTTTTGTGCGACTATCTAAAAAAATAATAAAAAAAATCACTGTAACTTACAAAGTAACTTACAAACACACTCTTGGTGTTTTCATGGTTTCCTGCAACATCCATTTGTTTATACTTCCTGAAGCTGATGTAATTGTTGAACTTTTATGCCAGCATGGAACAATAGTTGCATTCAAAAATTGAATGGTTACATAGGATATGCATCAATCTGTCCTGTACAAATTTGGAATCATAATCGATATGATATCTCCGGGCAATTTGGTTTTTGGTGAGAGTGGCTTTGAAATTGAGGCCTCAAAACATAGGGAGATTGCAAAGCTAATTCTGTCTGTTGCTCTCATAAAATGTCTTCTTTAAAATTTTAGAGTTGCCTGAATATCATTGACAAGCTACTGAGACTTGTTGCAGGATCGGTATATAGTGGAGTTGACTTTTGCAAAAAACTGTGTGGTGTCTCGATTGTTCGGAGGTGAGTAATATTCAAGTATTGCAAGACAAGTTCTTCTTACTTTGCTCATGCTTTTCATTACTGTAAAGAACATGCTTTATATTTCATCTAAATGATATTTGCGTACTTTAAGAGTTTGAGACTAACCAGGTCAATGAGGCACTAATGTGACAATTGATCTGTGAATTTAGTGTAGTTTACATTTTATGAACTTCTATCATCTTATGGTTTGTACGGTGTTTTAGGAAGTTGGCTGATTCTCTCACCAATAATGTTTTCTTGCAGTTTCACCTGGAATATTATTGACGACACCATTATATGACAATAATCTCCAAAAGTTTTATCATTGTTCATGAAGGGAAATCTTGCTTATAAATTAGCAGTAATATAACTTCTGTTATCAGCAACATGCTAATGTATAGAACAATGAAACAATGATAACATATGCATCCTATGCATTTTTATCTTAGATTTGTAAAATGATAAGTAGCAATCTGACAATCACAATTGTTGGTACTTCCATTTGACTTGTCATCTAGAGCTTTTAAACATATATTTTTTTGCAAGACAGCTATGCTTATCCATCGACCCAGAGACACCGAAGTGGGTGTGACTATGTCAATTTATAAATGGCTCTTAATATACTAGGGGTAGAAATCAAAACTTAGAATATCTTAATATGAATTATGTATTTATGTGAGGATCTTAAAGTTATATGCCTGGTGAAGAGTGTAATAAATGACTACTTGTGACGGATGATCTCTATTTCGTAAGTTTTAGTGCTGACTGTGTCTTGGGTGTTGGCTTGATTGTCAATGCTATGCAATTCAAGAACCTATGAATATTTATTTTTTTGCTTTACAGTGGTGAAAGTATGGAGAATGCACTGCGTGCATGCTGCAAAGGCATAAAAATTGGAAAAATCCTGATCCACCGTGATGGTGACAATGGGCAGCAGGTAAGTATCTTCTCTAACTTGTTGGTTGGTTGATAGATCCACTTTTTATTGTGGTTTTGCTTGTACCTTTTGCACAATCATATACATATTATTAATTCATAAATTCAACATATCTACCGTAACACGTGCAGCTTATCTATGAAAAGCTCCCGAAAGACATCTCAGAAAGACATGTGCTTCTCCTTGATCCAGTTCTTGCTACAGGTTGGTGATAGTATTCTCTCCCCTGCCTTTTTGTCATGCATATAATAAGGTTAAAAATTCAAGGAACCTTTTTCCATTTTATGTTGTGTGGTTGGTATTAGTTGGGCAATGGGCAACCATTCGACCATGATTACTTCACCCTTTACATGTTTTGCTGCAGTCAGTGTAAGTAACCAGATTATTGCAATGTTTAAGTGAGCAGAGTTTTAATGAATTACTTGACTATTTGTCAAATGTCTTGCTAACCTTCAATAATGACAAGCATGGAGTAATAGACTGCAAAGAAAACTACAATTTAGGGAATCTCATGGACCCAAATCAATAACCTCAACTTCTTATGATGATAACAATGGACGAACAAGTGATTGTAACTTTGAAAACTTTTGGGCAATGGAAGGTTCAATTTTAAAGGAATGGGAATTCACAAACTTTTGCAATTCCCATGAGACGAGCAAGCAATCATCGTTTATATTGTTTGATATGGCTTGCAGGTAATTCAGCCAATCAGGCAATTGAACTACTCATACAAAAAGGAGTACCAGAATCATACATAATATTCCTCAACCTCATCTCGGTGAGTATTGTTATTCCATGTTCATACTACATATTGCCTGTTTTTAAGTATATAATATTTATGTACGGCCACACACCCTCTTCACCTTTCGTGAGGTTTGGCTCTACAGTTACCCGATGGCTCTTTGGTATATTGCCTGTTTTTATCATCACTCATTATATACATGTCATGTGCATTTAGGCCCCGGAGGGAATCCATTGTGTTTCAAAAAGGTTTCCATCGGTGAAGATAGTAACATCAGAGATTGATGTTGCTTTGAATGAAGAGTATCGTGTCATACCTGGTCTTGGAGAGTTTGGTGACCGTTACTTTGGCACTGACGACTGATATCATAGACAGACAGTAAGACGATTGATGGTTGGGATGAGATCAGAGATAAGAGTAACAAACTGTCATGAGGTTTCTTTTTTCCCTTAATCAACCATCAAGTTTGATTTTGTACCCTTTCTGCTGATGCCTGTTGTGCTTTGATGGTTATTGGGTGTAAATATTAAGGCATGGATCTTATATTACTCTTTTTCGGGGGATCAAATTGCATATAACCGGTTATTGCAAGATACTCCTATGTCATGTTCTCTATTTTCGTAAATATTTACTGCTGACACTTTGTGTTGCTGAATTTTGTAAAAAATTGGCTTTCAATTGGGTTTGTGTTCGAATATGCATTTTAGGGTGTTTTCGGTATGCATAACAGGATGGGTCAGAGTGGCGGAAGGTAAGGGGGCAGTAGGGGCTGATTTTCTTCCTGCTTAATGGACCAGCTCCAACTGGTCTGTATATTTATTGGTTTAAATCTTGGCCCCCTCCCCAACTCGTTACCCAACTTACCTTAAGGGGGCGTTTACCTAAATGCTTTTCGGGGAAGTGCTTACTGATAAGAGTCATCATTCTTACTTACCTTACCTGGTTACATTCTCAGTCATTAAAATTGATTGTTGGTAGGCGTATCTTACCCAATAAGCATTAACTGGGTAAGATTATTCTCCCTGAAATATCTAGTGAAGCAGTTGGCTGAAAATGCCACTTTCACATGTGTTGGACACAAGGAGTTGTGATCTCTTGAAGCCCAACACACCAATTTCTGTTTACTTCTACTTAAGAAGTTGTGATGCAGTGTTTGAGGCCCTGGAGATGTGATGGAATGTTACACCTGTCTAGGGTTCAATTCAAAGCGTACATAATAGTTGTAACTACTGAGTTTATCAGAGTTGATCTCTTGCATTCAATTTGCCAGAATTAATCCTCGGATGGCATGGGACACAAAAAAAAGCATCTTTTAGCATCTTAGCTTGAATTTTCTGCTTGGTAGCAGATGGAAAATTTGTTGGTGATACTTATTAGTTAATGGAAATTTGTTTGAGGCAACAAATACCCAGGATATCTTCAGTCTGGGTTATTGAGAACTCATGCATAAAAAGCTTAAAAGCAAAATAAGGATATTGATTTTAGTAATACTAAAACAAGATCTTAGTTTGCATTGTAAAATTTATGATTATTTTATTAATCATCAAAGATATAGTTTGTCGAACTTATATTCTTGGTTTTGTTTATCGAAAAAGAAATTACTAAAAAGACAAGGGTTTTTTGGTGAAGTTTCAAATGTAAAAAAATGGTTTTACAGGTTTCATGAAAACATGCTGGTTCATATAATCCCAAGTCTATATATATATATATATATATATATATATATATATATATATATATATATATATAAATAAATGATCATATCCCCTCCGTTCGAGGTTTTAAGACTTGTGTTTTATCTTTGGATGAAAATGATAAAATATAAATGAATTTTCTTATTCATTCCATTAATGAGAATTGAACTAATATTATTTTATATAATGATTTTTTCTTTAAACATACATTGAAATAATAAAATTATAAAATATTTAAATAATATAATTAACGATGAAATATTTAAAATAAAAAATTTATTAAAATTAAACATAAATTTATTTAAGAGATTTTAAGTTTTTATTTTTTAAAAAAATCTATAAATTACTAAAATACTTGGATCAAATTAAAAATCTTAAAAGTTCCGTAATTTAGATTGTACCAAAGGTACCCCAACACAACACTGTCTCACAGTCACGTTATATTAGGTTTTTAGCCCGACCCGTTTTGTCTGAACGGGTGGAAAAGATACTTGTTTTGTTTGTGATACAATTATCCATTCCCGCGCCACCAGTACGCCACTTTACGGCCATCACGGGCCAAAATGTCCGTCTTCTTCCTCTCTGCACCGCCGTCAATCTGTGTCTCACCGTTAACACACCGCCCTGCCACCACCATCACCTCCTGTTTCTCTGTTCAAACACTCTCACCACTCTCGCAGTCATTACCGTCACCTCCATCATCATCATCATCATCATCATCATCATCATCTCGACCGCCGTCATCAAATTCTTTGCTTCCAAATCCTAACGTAACTCCTATCTCCTCCTCAGGATGTTCACTCAATTGTCCTCACTTCGAGTCGTACGTTACTCAACCAAGTGATTTTGAAATTTAATTACTTCTCCTGCGTACTATAGATTACAATCTGAATCTATACTTACATTTTTTATTTTGGTTTGATTTTACAGGTGTTCAGGCTGTACTCACGAGGATAATCTCCACCGTCCGGTTATTTTAGGAGAGGCTACTACCTTCTTCAAAAAGCTCGGTGTCTCCGATTTCACTTTTGATACTTGTAGGCTGGTAAATCCAATTGCAAACTACTCCATCCGTCTATATAAGAAGTCGAGCATTTGGCATTTTAGTAGCGATTGAATTACTTTTAGAATTTGGAAAATTTATAAGAAATGTCGAATCTAACATGCGTCTGAGTTATATTTGGAAAGTGAAGGTTTGAATTTATAAAATCCATTTGACCTACTTTTCAACGAAGGAATCATCTTACCGGCCTCTACATATTTTCTTAATCACGGACCACGGTTATGGTACTTAGTTCAGTATTATACAGTCCCTTTGTTCCAGAAGTAGGTATATTTGTAAAATGCCAATTTTAAGGATTTATATTTTAGATTTTACACCCAGTAGAATCCATGTTTGTCAATTAGTAAGGAGCTTACCTTTACTCGGGCAAGGTCAAAATGGGGTATCCAAAGCAATTTAGAGTTTTAAATGGGAATTTGCCTCTTTTCTTAGGAAGGACCAGAATTTTTCTTTTTCCTTGAAACAGAACGAGTATATTGGAAACAGAGCTCATATATTGCACAATTGAATTGGTTTTGTTTTTGTTTTAGCCCTCATAGTCTTGGAATTTACCTTTCATTTTCTAAGTTAATGAATATATTTGTCTAGAAAGTAACTTGCTCTCAATTGCAGTGGGGATGGAGGTGCCGTGCTAAACTTGCCATACGGGGGTCATCAACTGATCCTCTGATAGGGCTTTACCAAGAGGGCACACACAACGTAGTGGATATACCTGATTGCAAAGGTCTATACTCATGTATCCTGCTTTATTAATTTGCATCGTATCACAGATCATATCGTAGACGTAAGTAGAGGGATAACAAACATAATTGCTGATACTATCCATGGAATGTCTATGCATCTATAAGCAGGCATGTCATTGTGCCATTGGCCCATTGGAGTATCATCTTAGTATAGATGACAAGGTACAAGAATGCGGAAGTGATTAATCCACCTATATTTTGTATTGGTGCTGTCTCTGTATCTTTATTAGTTCCTTCGTACCTATGTTAGTTATTGCTAGTTCAAAACTTAAACATTTAACTTCTAGACTAATTTTTTTTTTGAGTTAATTGTGCATTTTTTGCACCTTTTGTTTCTGCAGCTCATCATCCAAGCATAAATGCTGCTGTGGAGCTTCTGAGAAAAGGTTTGTTCTAAAATTCTGAACTCAATTTTGGTTCTGGAGTTTATATACGTTTTAGTAGACAAGAAAGTAAAAAATATAAGTTCTTATGCTGACTTAGGTTCTATCTCTCGTCATTCTTTTTGTCCTCTCTTAAATCTTGGTTCAGGTATAAAGATTTTGAACATCGATCCTTATGATGAAGATGAACGGACTGGTTATTTGAGATATGTTCAGGTGTAACATGCTTTCAATCTCAGTTAAGTTTAAATATTAGTTGGGAGTAAGTGGTATGTCCATATACTAACTTTATGGGTATTTGTAGATGGCTGTCACTACATACAACACATCTCTCCCTGCTTCTGAAAGATATAGAAGTGGTTAGTTATTAGTGTTACTTGCTAGTATTATCATGTATGTATAGCATATGCTGGACTGTTTGAAACTACTTTGGATTGTAAAACTGCAATTTTTTTGTTGTAAATTTACAGGTAGAGTACAAGTTTCTTTAGTTTGGAACTCACGTAGCGAAACTTCAGCAAGTTCAGAAAAGTTGAGCGACTTGGCTACAGTAAGGGTTTAAACTTCTCTCAGATTCTTGTAATGTCAACTTAAAGTCCCATGAAGTAAGTTTGGAGTTTTATTTTGGCATATTTCTCTTCGCTTCAAACTGTAGATGATTGAGCCCGTTGGTTTGGAGGTCACAGGCCAATCTAATATCTTTTTCCATATTTTCATCAACACTATCTTAAGATATTACAATATATCCTTTTCTTTCTTCTCTCAAGCATATGTACATGTAGAATAGTAGGCTACAATAACACCAAATAAGAGAGGATGAGAGATAAAAAGGCTGGTCTCGCACTTACACAATCCCCTTGTGAAAACAAGAAGCATTATAACTAGTTTGGTAGGCCAAGTATTGTAATTCGTACATAGAAAATTAGATGCATTTTCATTTTTTATAAACTATAAGAAAAAAGAAAAGAAAATGACCATTAACTTTCTTTATGGAACCCCAAAGCCATCATGAATGTCATGCAACTTGACTGTGCGTTTTTGTACTAACATTGGTAATTGTGCTTCCTTGTGGTTTGTCTTGTAGTTTTTGTGGAGAAATGGCGGGCCGAACAGTAAAGTTCATTTAATTCACTCTGTTTGGGCAAACTTCCAAACATCGACTAACAATGTGAGTGATGTACTTGTGTGTTTCTGTTAATGAAGGGGTGGGTTTGTTTTATGTTGCATAAGTAGTGGTTTTATAAAAAAGTGCTATGCAAAATTCTTTTCGTTCTTGAGATTTTTCAATGGCATGAATGTACCAATAGGACCATCATTCCATATTTCCATGCTAAAAGGACATGATTAGTCATAACAGTGGATGATACAGAGGATTGTGAAGTTAAGAGTAAATAGTATGCTTGCTAGTTTATATGTCTGGGATTTGTTGTTTGTTCCATTTCTAGTAATACTTTTGTTTCTTGGAATAAGTGACGTCATTAATTTTATATGCTTAAATTAAAAAAAAATGAAGTACTCTCACCCTTTAATATTGAGGAGGAGTTACTCATATTACTTTTTTCTGATTATGCAGGTAATTTTTGGAAATAGATGGAGGCATCTATTAGGAGAAAGAGATTTCTGGGAGCATGTTGGAGGAATTGATGTCTATTTGGCTCCATCAAGCTTCGGCCAAGCGAATACAAGGGTAAAAACCTTACTGAGAGTGGTTTACTATAATTTTCTGGAAACTACATGCATCATCCTATCCATCTGTTTCTTGGTAAATTTCAAGTTCAGGAATTGGTTTAATGATAATTTTAAATGTCTTGTTGGTCTTGCTAATTACTCAGTCCCATCCAGCAAAATCTGTGGTTTAATGAAACTTAATTGTTTGTGTTTTTGTAATGGTTGTTTATTGGACATTGTTCTTCTCACTGTTTGATGTGATTGTTTTTATTCTTCAGGCTTTTGATTCTTTGCTTCAAAAACTACATAGATATGTCCCTCTTGGTTCATCGGTTACTGACTTATATGCTGGAGCTGGAGTCATCGGATTGTCACTAGCTTCCACAAGAAAATGCAGGAAAGAATTGTTAATATGTTGTTCGATTGATTTGAAGTGGTTATGTCATCAACTAAGCGTACATATGTTATATCTTAATATTTTCAGATCAGTTAGATGCGTTGAGATCAATAAAGAATCAAAGCTAGCTTTTGAGAAGACAATTGAACGGTTACCAAGCTCCATTGATAGCAACATTAGCTGGCATCTTGCTGACACGTCAATTGTTAGTATTAGAGTCTTCATCTTCAACTTCACATTCTTATTATTTGTTTTAGGGTCCCGCATTCAGTAATCTCATAATTATTTGTACTAGCATACACTCTTGAGAGAAATTGTAGTTAACTGAAATATGCATGCCACTTTTTGTGATGAGATGAAATGGAAGTTTGTTTTTATGAATCACACCTCGAATACTGTAGAAAATACTACCTGCAATCCAAAGTAATTATAAAATGTTCTAGAACTTACATTGTGGTTCATCTACAACTTCTCTCAGGAACCACTTTCTTGGCTTGTGGGATCGGAAGTTCTTGTGGTTGATCCTCCTAGAAAGGGGCTTGACCCATCTTTGGTTAGTGCTTTACAGGCCATTAAATCTGCAGAGCGTAAAGCTATGACACTTGAAAGGTAGAAATAGTCATGAAATTAGTCGACTTTTTAGTACGTAACTATTCTGATAAGTGATATGAAGTGAAGAATCTGAATGTATGGTGTGTTTTTAATTCTGTCACTGTAGCCCAACCTTCAAGGCGAAAGATGAAAAGAGACCTTGGATTTTACGAGCAAGAGAGGATTCAATTGAGATTCCGAGCAGAACCACACAAGAAGAAAGTCGATCACTACCTCAAACGCTTATATATATAAGTTGTGGATGGGAAAGCTTCAAAGAGGTACTTTTAGGTCTCATTCTTTCAAAATGGTTGCTAAGAGCTGCATTTAGTTCATTCTGATGCCTGCTTTCAAAAACTCAAAAGTGGAGATTTCTAAGTCAGCTTTCTAATGTGAATTGACTGTCTTGCAGAATTGTACGGCATTACTGTCAAGTAAGGCCTGGCATTTGAGTAAGGCCCATGGTTTCAATTTCTTCCCTGGTACCCAGAGGTATATCGTTGTGTTATGTCATTTACTATGCTTTGTACAATATGTTGGTTAAATTTGCTCATTCGGTTGTTGCCTTGTTGGTTTTATAACTTTTCCTTATTCGACGATTATTTCTCCTGTGATGATGATATGTTCATTTGTTGTTCATATGGCCTAGCTATGTTTTTTTCTTTTTGAAGTATATAATATTTATATATGGCATATGCAACAAATAAACTCACACACCCTCCTCGCCTTTGGTGAGATTTGAACCCCTGACCTCCTAGGAGGTCAAAGACTCCGATACCGCTAGGAGCAAAGACTTCGTTGAGTTACGTAGGATATTTGCGGTATCCTCTTTGCATAATGTCAGTTGAGAATCTTTTGACGATCTATATTCTTTTGCAATTGTGAGGTTAAATAGTTTCCTTGTTGATGGACTAGATCTGTTGCATCTTCTATTTCACTGTAAATTGCAACACAAGGATATTACGTGGTTTCACAATTTTATGATTGTGTGTGTTCACACACTAACCCGAGATGATGTATATAACTAAACAAGTAGCAGTTACAACGAAATGCGTACCTGAACGATTCAAAACAATTCAAATGGTACAAATAACCTACTACTTAGAACTTGTAGAGAGGAGAACAAATTGAAATGTATGTGGGTTTTTTGTGTTCGTTCTAGTGTTAAATGAACCCTAATTTCTTGCTTTCTCATGTTTGCAAGTCGCCCGGTCATTGAAAGCTTTGTCGAAAACCCTTATGGGACACGACTTCGAAATCGTGTACAAGTCATATAGAACAGAGTTTGTGACTACCCAAGTCACAAGCAACTCACAACGTACGTGAGTTTGACACCCAACGTACATGACTTGGGAGGGAGTTCACAAGTCGCGTACAAGTCACCTGAAGCGTGTCAAGTGAGTATCACAAAATTCAACAAGTTTTTTTGCACTTGCTTCATAGTCACTTCATCAATGTCAAGTTGCATTCTTGATTGGATTAGCTTTTCTCCTGTCATGCTTGCTCGGTTTAGTTTGAACAATTTTAAGTTGCATATTTTGAGGCTAGATGAATAAACATTATTGGTTTCTCCCTTCTACCAGGAACTGATGAGAACATATTTTTTCAAATGTGGAGTTCTTTTTTCCTTTTCTTTTGGACTAAATTAGGTGTGAACTGTTAGATACTTTGCTGTAGCCCCCTACTTGCCTGTGATGCCTAGTTTGTGAACGTGGAAAATTGTTATCTATGTGCATCAAACAGATTTACTTGTGGATTTCTTATGTTGCATTATATGTTTGAGGCTTCTATTTGTTCTTTTACATCTTTATGCATTTTTTTGCTGACACAATTACTTTTGCAAAAAATGGTCTATGCAGCATTGAAATTTTGGCCATATTTAAGCGAGGGCCTGGAGCAAGTGTGAAGAAAAAGAAATCCTCAAAGAAGAAGAAGAAGAAGAATAAAACCTTCTGAGGAACAATCATTTATGCTTGCCTCTTGTAACATAAAAAGGGAGTTCATTCAAGTAGGACATCTGGTCGGTGGTTGCGTAATGAAAACATGGGAGGATGGATTTCTCATCCTTGAAAAGATGTTATCATTAGATATAAGCTATTCTATGTATGACCAACAAAATGATGCAATCTATAAGCGTTGATAATCAAAATCATCTTCTATTCTGTGTTGTCTTGCTTCCTTTCTTTATTAAATTTTGTAAAGGAATCAAGTATTGAAAATGAAGAATACGATAAATACATGGATTTATTTGAAGCTCTGCCAATGCATTTTCATTTCTCCATTGAGATTCAGTGTCTTTTTCTACCTGCATGGGATTTTTCCAGATTTGGAAAAGCACTCAAAATGTTGTGGGCTCTCAAGTCTTGCCTGGTCAAGATCCCCACCAGTGGTGGCACCTACAAGGAGTGTAGCTTCAGGTGAGTTGCATTGATCCCATAAAATGTCTCCTAAAAACAAAATGATGAACTTTGACCTTTTTGTAGTTATGAAAAGTAGAAAGCTGATCATGACATGCTATGTTTCAGTAGTTGTGCTACAGGTTTTGGGAACTTACTGCTGGTCCTGAGTACTTTGGTAAGACGAGCATATGGCGGAGCCCCACCTCCCTGAATTGCACCATAGCCTTCGCAACTGACATGGTCTCAACCACGGTATGAGGAGTTGTGTTGGTAAGTGGATGCAAGTCCACGTACATTTCCGTTTCTTCCTTTGTCAGAGTCACCTCCTTGATATTTCCCCACCTTTCTGCCGCATCAACACAGCTAATTCTTTCTCTAATTTCCCACTCTTCTGTTCTCCTCCTCTCTTGTAAAAGCCATTTTTTCTTCAGCACCAACAAAAGGTGAGCTCGTAAAACAAGTCCATGCACTTCAGTTACCTGACCAACATGGGGCACAACTGTATTGTATACTACAGGGAAACCATTGTGTGTGGTGTTTCGCAAAACATCCACTATGCGGCTCACTTTCTCGATCCCAGAAAGGGTGACTACTGGTGGCTTAACTGCAGCTAGGTCACCTACAGTGATGTTTCTCATCCATGGTTTAGGGTGCGCTTCCAAGAAAGGCAGCCCTTTCAGATCTAGTATGATCTCATAGATGCTTGGGTTGAAGCAATCTCCAACACTTTTGGCAATTAGAAGGACAAACATGGTTATGGGTAGTAGAAGAAGATTGTTGGTTAATTCAAGAAATATGACACAAACGGAAACGGTCATCCTCATTGAACCTGCCATCAAGGAAGCTGCACCCAAAACAGCATAGAGACCTTGGTCCATCTTTGAGTATGGCTCCATTGCAATACCAACCATGCGGCCGTAGGATGAGCCCATAAGGAGGATAGGGAGGAAAAGGCCAGATGGAACTGCAATGCCGAATGTGATGAGACCCAGTATGCAATAAAGCATGAAGAAAATGACGAGGGAGATTGTTTGGTATTCTGTGGAAGTGTTGATGGAGAAGATATTGTTTACAGCATCATCATTGGTTGTGAGGAGGAGAGTAGCTAGATCATTGTAGTGTCCTTTTGGACAGTTGAATTGCTTGAAATTCCCCACCCTTCCTGTATTAGGACATTTAGAATAAAGGGATGGATCACAGGGCTTGCAGCTTACAAGGAATGGTAGTCCGTATTGGCATGCAGAGGTAAATAATGCAACTGTGAGACTTAGTAATATCTTGGCTAATCTTCCTTTCCTGCAAGATTAATATCAACAGTTTTAGGCATGGTTTTTCCTAGGATATTGGATCTGTTCCAGATAGATATATTGAACTGAAACGAGGTGTGAAGTTATGAAGGCTTACTCGTTAATGAGACTGTAGACTCTGAGGACCTTGTGAAGGAGGTAGTTGTAAAGGCTTCCTAAAACTCCCCCAATAATTCCTATTAAAGTGATGGGGATGAGGTCAACAAAATGATACGTCACTGGAACTCCGCTGACGTCAAACATGATCAGTCCCCCTTCTCCAAAAAGTCCGCAGCCTCCAGCTTCACAATACTCCATGGAAGCTCTAAGCACTACAACCACAATGGCTGTGGTGAAAAAAGTTCTCCACAGAAGAGCACTTCTCCACCATGTTGCCACCTCCTCAAGTGAAAACAAGACACCACCCACTGGTGCATGAAAGGCAGCACATACCCCCGAAGAGGCTCCATAAGTGATGATATCTCGGCGGTCTCTGTCATTGTTGAAGTAACGGATCCAACGCCATTTAATTTGGTAATTGTCTGGCCCACCTTGGCCTACTAATGAAGCAATACAGGCACCAATGTGAATCAGTGGCCCTTCTTTCCCTAAGTCCAGGCCTGCAGAGACAGCTCCTATGCTTCCAATGATCTGTAATTAGTAAAGAGAGATTGGCAAAACCATCCAGCTGCTTTCAGGTATGGGATGTTTTCTTTTTTCTTCTTTAAGTATAATTACCCTCCCCTACCAATTTATAATGAACCTAATACCTTTTTGTGCTTACGGTATAGAAGAGTAATTAGTATGCCTGAATTTTACCTAAACTTCTTGACATTATTAAATGGTTCTTGCCTTCTTGGAATGTAGCCAACTATAGGTTAAATTAGCTTTCCCAGTTGTAACCAATACCATAGCACATCTGTAGTCATAACCAAAATAAAAAATGTCACACTCTTACTGGCATGAAAGGGACAAGGCTACCAACCAAATGAATTTATTGGAAGGTATCAGTTTAGATGTTGAATAACATCACCTAAGAAGGCATGTCAACTATATAGTAAAATTACTCCTGTAGTAATCTTTAGCACACTATTTAACACCATATTTGGCTGAACCTAGGAGAAAACTCCTCTTTCCGAAATAAATGTTCAGTTTGCTCAAACAAGTAAATGTCTTATATGTAAATCAATTGTCTTCTCATATTGATGTATAAATCATGGCATTCACTATAGATATATTATTTAGAAACGAAATTATTTGTCAACATACATATGAAGTATATGTTTTTGTGGAATACAAACATACTTTTTGCAACAATACTTAATTAGCTAGAGTTGAGGATTGATGAGAAATTTCTTACGACAGCATAAGGCAAAACTATGTGAAATAGTACAAAAATATGATGTAAACATTTCATTAAATATGAGGCAAAACTATGTGGGACAACCAAATACCAAAAAAAGTCTCGTTTAATCTGGGATAAATGTGCTGAGATGAGTGACCTTTAACTTTATGAATACACTTTCTTTCCCATTAAAAGTTGCTTTGTATATTTCTGGAAGGTTTTTATCTTTTACTATTAGTCATATGTCCAAAATACCAAAATAGGGAATCTTGTGGAGCCAAACCGACATCATCAGTTATTTGCAATAATGACAATTGACAAACAGTTAATTTTAGCTTGAAAACTTGTTTTAAGAAACAAAAAATTATTATGAGACATCCCAAATTGGATAAAGTACTACTTTTTATAAGGTTGTGTTCCCTATCCAGAAATGAATTCGAATTAATGAATTATTTTGTGGGAAGCTATATGCACCTTTACGAACAATGTTGTAGCGTCATACATTCCAGGGGTGTCTATCCCATTAAGATAAGCTTTGATTTCAGGAACACCAGGCCCAGCTGCAGTAGGAGCAAAGAACACACACAAAATAGTAGCAACCAGTGTCAATAGTAAGTTAACCCCAGTCATGAAGAAGAACCCCATCATGTATCTGCATCCACCATCATCATACATAAGCTTCTTGATATATATATATATATACACACACACACGTATATAGGGTCAGGTTCAAGGGAAAACCGTAGAATAATGAAAAGTTGAGGAACAACTGGTAAAGGTTCATTTGGACGGTATGCTACCAGAAAGTTCTACTGATCTGGATGTGCTTTTTGGCAGCTATCTGGCATTGGGTAACGAAATGGAAATTTTTGGTTTCATCAAGCTGCTATCTGATAGCTATAAATCTAAATGATAGAAATATTTTTCCCTTAGTCCTATCTATCCACCTCTCCGGACACAATATCTTGAGTGTAGTTCGACCGTGGAATTTCTTTGTTTTCTTGAGGAGAACCCAGAGGTTATTTTATTCCTAGGAATCCCCCGCATGCCTTATTTGAGACTACTAAGGCAGGCGGTGGACTCTTTTATTCGTGTACCACGAGCCCTCCGTCCCACACATCTATCCAGAAGCAAGTGTAGTTCCATAATGGGTCCCATTCTTCTAGCCTTTCCCCGAGATCTTTAATTACTTGTATGCACATGTGCATATCGTCCAGATGAATGGTTACCAAGGAGTTCCTCAAATTTTCATGTTTTTGGGGGTTTTCCCTTGAACCTCCCTCTATATATAGAGAGAGAGAGGAAGGATCATACGAGAAGTTAAACAATTTGAGAGAAGGCGATAAGTTTCTGTATCATATATGATTACATTTCTTTGGGTGAGTTTAGTCATATATGATTAAGCGTCTATGTGTTGTCAATACAACATGTGTTTAATCATATATGTTTGTATATATCATACCCTCCCCCGACCCCACCTACAGGTGGGATATTTTGGGCTCGTTCGGTTTGTTTTTCGTTTTGGTAGAGGGTAAAGTCGACCGCAAAACCTCTTTTTCTTTATGTAGTGGAAGACAGCCAGGAGTTTGTAGCCTGCAATGTTCGTAACTGCAAGATTGATGAGAGTGGCTGTGATACCAGTTAGAAGCCCAACTAGTAAAGCCTGTAACCATTTCAATAATGTATACTGCATTATTTGGACTCGTGATCTGCTTCTCCAGTCATGCTTGAAAAGATCATTTTCATTGATCCTGGCATATACGAAAACAAGAAGAGAAACAGGTTTATTTTCATTCCCATGTTCATAATCATAATTTTGATAAAGTATTCATATTTTAGAGATGAAAGTGGTTTCTAAGCTTACTCGTAGTCCAAGCTTTCGATATGAGAAACTTTGGCCCCAATCATGGCCAGTGGAATGGAAGAAAGGGTCTGATTTTTCTCGAGGAATGGCTGATGAATGGAATTGCTCTTTGGCTCACTTTCTTGTGGTTCTGTTTGTTCTTCCATATTGTAGGTAGTTGTCTCTGCCAATTGGTCTGATTCTTCTTCCATTCGATCAAATGCAGTTCGCATTCTTGGTAATCACTAGTCCTCCTCTGCTGTAAACAAAGTAATCTCTCTCTCTCTCTCTACATATATATATATATATATACACACACAGCACATAGCACACAGAGACACCTATATACATGTATGTAGCTATATGTACTGATTGGAAATTGGGAATGATTGGTTTCAAGAGATACAACGTTCTTTATCAAAACCTTGGACAAGAGTAGGAAGGTGTGAGGATAGGTGATAGCTCAAGGAACTATAAAACAAACAACTGGGGTCCAGGTTGACAAGTTGGTTATGGTTTGGGTGAAAAAATCAAACAAAAGACAGCTCCATCTATTGTCTAGACTTAAAAATAGGTAATAATTTTGTAGTCTACATTGTAACATGTTTAGGGGCAGTTTACTAAACACTTGCCAGGTAAACGCTTACCTTAACGATTGACCACTTGTAAAGACCGAGAATCTTACCCAGTAAGAGGCATATCAAAGACCGAGAGTCTTACCGCTAAGTGATGGAAAAGACTCTTACCCGGTAAATGCTTACTGGGTTTAAGACGTTCACTAACATTCCATTTTGATGGTCGAAATGGTTATACGATAAAGTAAGGGAAGATAATATCTCTTACTAATAAACTTTTACCCGGTAAACATTTAGTGGACAAGCCTTAATCATAAAAATCCTTTAATTTGCCAAGTGCACATTAAAAAGATCCTATTCGCGTATAAGAAAACTTTCTGTAAACATTAATATATGACATTCACCACTTTTGGAAGTTTAAAGAATATTATATATACTATATCTATACATGTATAGGATGTGATTAGTTCCTATAGCTAGGGAGCCGTAGGGATTGCGACACGTATGCTTTGTGCAGATCTTGAACGGTTAGAAACTGGGTTCCAATAAGTTTTGTCAAGAAAATGGTAATGTTTTTTTTATCAACTGGTGAGAATCAGCATGGGATACTCTGAATAAAGAAATAGGGATGATACAACAAAAATGGCTTTCTTTGGTATGGTAGTAATAAAAATAATGATAGCCTGCCGGTTTGACCACGTGGGTATTGCATTAAACAACCAAATATGTTGATGATTGCTTCAATCTTGCTTAAAACATGTATTTCTTTCATCAAAACAAAATGTCTTGTCGCCATTAATGATAGAGATGGTAGATTGCAATCTTTTTTTATAACATTATAGGTGAGTTATTATGTAACCATTTATATTTGTACAATCAATACAATTTAATCATAACCGTCTATTTAATTTGATCAATATGTGATTTCATAAAAGTTTTGATTGTTTTTTAATATAATGTATTGATCATAATTAATGAACCATAATTATATTTCATAAATATTTAAATCATAATAAATGAACTCTCATCATTTCCATTAATTTCTTTATTGATTGAGTTGCATTGGTTGTTAAATGTGATGAGTTGCATTTGAAATGTTCTCTCTATATAGTTATACACACACATTAATGTGTACAAGAGGAAAACGATGTGATATATTGGTTCTTTTAGTATATTTATATAAGGGCAAATTGTTTGAAAAAGTAACGTGTGTTAACTTGATTCTTATTTTGGGTAACGTATTTTCAAAACTTTCATTTTGGTATCCTAAATTGTAAAGTTTTAATCATTTAAGTACCTGGGTAACCGGTTACCATGCTGATGTGACGAGTGATGTGATATTCAACTCAGTATTATTTGTTATTCAACCTAATTTCATCTCATCACTCGTCACATCAGCATGGTAAGTGGTTAATGCTTCAAACGTTACATGGGTGCTTAAATGTTTAAAACTTTACATCTTAGATATCAAAATGAAAGTTTTGAAAGTATGTTACACAAAATAGGAATCAAGTGAAAGTACGTAATTTTTTCATACAATTTGCCCTTTGTATATAAAGATACAACTAGGATTTTAGGTATGGTACACTACAATTCAAATAAGGATATGTTAAAGAACGTAAATTTAGATATTTTTAAATGAAGAAAGAATATTTTCGGTTTGATTTTGATTTTAAATGTGGTGGATAAAGACACAGGGATGATAAAATTAACCTCAATTCAAATCATGTTATATGTATTTGCACTTTGACCACTAGAAGATTTGCCTTTACAAGTTATGGAATTAGTGTGGGCTAAGTCTGGGTTCACTGTTTAAAAAAAATGATGAAACAACGTTAATTTTAAAATTGTAGGGTTATAATTAATGTTAATATAATTCTATATGATACCAGCATTTGACTTTCTTGGTACAAATAACTTGGTTTGGTTTGTTATTTCTTCGGTTTTTCCCACATGGTCATCAGCAAAGTTTGCTATGAACATGTAATTTTTTTATAGATTCGTACAAGAGATAATCAATAGTAAATTTAAATTCAAATAACCAAACGTTATTTCATGATAGAGAATTAGGATGGCATCTTGTTAATTTCACTCCTTGAAGTCTAAACTCTTAACATTATAAGCCATGATCAATACGTTTCTCATAGAATATCGGTTTGAGTCCTGCAAAATACTGAGATTTTTCTGATTGTTCTCTAGGGTCAATGGAATTTGTCAAGATATGCATAAACTGGTCCAAATATCTATGATTAAGAAAACATATATCTAATAGATCCCTGGTGATTTGGTACGACAATTTATTTGCACTGTTGCTATTGGCCAAAGTTCTTGTAGGATATATGTTGTCGTTTTTCAAGTTTACATAAGTTTGATTTATGTGAGTTATAATGTCAAATTACATGATTATTATAAATATAATGTTAAATAATAAGTTTGGACTTTCTGATGCAAGATAGTTTTCTAAGGGTCGTTTTGATTTGAGGGAGTGTAATAGAATTGAGGGGATTTGAATTTTAAATCCATTTCATTCCATGTTTGATATGCAGGATTGTCTGGATTTGAAATCATAGGATTATGTTGAAATCTCTCAAACATAGAATTTTGAAATCCATCGAGGATGACAGAGAATTCGCAGAATTGGTATATAATAATGTTTTAAAATATTTTAAAAACAATTCTTTTCTAATAATTAATTAATAAAAAAATAATTTAAGTATTTTTATAATTATTTATAATTAATTTTTATAGATTATTTATAAAAAATGGAATTTCATTCCAAATCCGTCAAACCAAATACTTCAAAGATTTCAAATCCAGATCCCTCCAATTTCAAATCCTTCCATGAAATTCGAATCTCTAAAAACCATTTCATCAAACCAAACTCCCCATAATCGTTTGGTTTGCAGGATTGTTTTTGATAGATTTGGATTTCATGGAGATATTTGGATTGGAATGGATTTGAAATCATTGGTGTGTAAAATTTGGAATGAAATGGAATTGGATTTTAAATCCAAACTTTCATTCAAACCAAACACACGATTGAAATGAAATTCAACTTTAAATCCCACAAACTAAACGGGTCTTACTTTACTCTCCCTGTTTTGGAGCTTTGGGCATTGATTACATACTGATTATCTACAGACATCCAATTTTTTATAATGTCAATCTTTTAAACATGGTACTTGTGATAAATCCATCAAATTTATCCTTGACAAGATATACATACCACAAGTTACGTGCAACAAATTCGAATTGGTTTCTTGTAATGTGCAAAAATAATAGCTCGTGTTATGTAATTTCTTGTAATTAGGAGTGATACACCTAAATCAAATAATATGATCGATAAACTTTGGTTTCTAAACAACAAATGCACACAGTACAACGTAGCGTCATAACACGATCTTCACATAGCATTCTCTCGAGCAAAAGGAAGGATGGTGCGACTCAATTTAGAGGGCTGTCACTAGGCATATCCCAGTTATCATCGTCGTCTTCCCTCTTCTTGCTCACACCTTCCAGCTTCTCGTCATTTGGGTTTCTGAAAGGGGTCCGTCTGTTTATCCCCCAAAACAAAACCAACTTCCATTAAACAGTTTGTATTATGCACATAATAAGAAAATACTCATTACAGCAGTTGTATTATGTACGTAATATATATAAGGCCAATTCTATTCATACCCCCTGCTATATGAGTGGCATGTGGGTCGAAAGGAGGTACAAAATGTGAATGGTATGTGAGTGAGGGGGTATGAACACCAACCCCCTAATATAATCGATCAACCAAATACAATGAAAACAGTAAAGATAGCACGGTGAACAAGACAAGGTACCAATCAACGAATTGGTCATGTTTGGTAATAACTATTTTGTATCAATTTTTGAAATCTCTAGAACCGTAAAAGGTACATGATTAATCGATTCATGAAATTCAAGTTTTTATTCGTGTTTTTGGAGATGTTGGGTTTGATTATGTTTTTTCATTTGTCAAGAATATGATCAAATAAGGTGTTGGCTCTAAGAAGGCTAACTAAGGGGCTGTTTGGTTGGTATTCAATGTCTGTATGGATAAAGATGTTTGTGTGGATTAATTTGTCGGTACAGATTAAGAAGGTTTTGTATGTGAGGGTTTTCTCATAGATGGAAGAGGCGTGTTATTTAATTGGGATGGACAAGTTTGGAAAAAACTTGGTTCTTTTTGCATAAAGCTTCCGTTCCCCCTAGAAGATTATTGAAAAAGCCATTTTCTATATCATTAAGTCACTATCAAACAATCATGTATAAGCTATGAGTCTCATTAAGCTACTAAAAAACATGTCCTAATTCTCCCATTCTCCATATCCATTCTCATTCCCATTTGGCAATTTCCATTCCCTCTCATTCGTATTATCATTTTCGTTCCCCTGAAATGATGAACCAAACACCCCCTAAATATCAGGTTACAAATTTTGACTAAAAGCCTTTCAACTTGCATGTTGCAAACCCATTATCTAGAATATATTCAGCTATTTCATACAGGATGTAAGGGCAGGGACAGTTGTTGAAAGTCCATGTATTTGGCACTAATCAAGTAATAGTTATACTCCCCCAAATATATAACTACCAATCATAGAATCTTCTGGTCCATTCATATTGTCAATAGTCTCATAGATCTCACTTCGTTCTGTGAGTCTTACTTCCTTTGTAGGATGAAAAATAAAGATAAAACCCAAGAAATGATGTTGAAGAGTCGGTACATGTTCATCTCTCTACACACGAAACGACTCATGCTTCAATCATTTGACTTTTGTGGTCAAACTATTGCGGAAGTGATATAGATTTATCTATAGTTACAATAATATGAGTATGCCATGTTATGCTATCTAAAAACACAATTATGTGCCATTCTGAAATAATATAAGAACAACTATTGATCACAAAATCATAATATTTCATCATGAAAATAAACCCATTGCAGTTCTTAATCATAAATATAACCCTTTTGATCCATCTTTCCTATTTTGAAATCAATCTGGTAAGACACCTATGAGTTTGTAAACTATCAGCTGACTGGTCACCCATATGTGGACTCCATACATGCAATTCCTGAGCTCTCCTCACACTCTTTTTGTGAGCTTGTTGCACAAATTTCATGCTCAGTCAAGAAACTTTCGGATAATTGTGCCCAAATTACTTACTCTCTTGTTATCCTACAATGTTTATCGATGCATATGCATATTCCTCTATTGATCTTAGACATCTTGATGTTTACAGTTGATAAAATCAAATATATCAAACTAATCTAACCATTAAAATCTGCTTTGTTATGGAGAATTTACACTAAAAAAATGTGTTTAAAATTGAATAAATAGTTTCCTCATGGCATATCCACTTCAAGTAATTACTACTACAGGATCGGATTGATATCCATGCGATGCTAAACAGCACCATAATGATAGTAGTTATAACTGTAATGATAGCTACTGTTAAAGATATGAATTCATAGAATTAGCAGAAAAATTGGAGTTAAACAAACGAAATCGACATCAAAGTTAAATTACCTGCGCCGATTGCGCTTAGCGGCCTCGCGATGCTTGCGTTTCTTCTCTTCCTGTTTATTCTCGAAGTACCTACGACGCTTACATTCTTGGATGACGCCAGCCTTCATAACTTCTCTACGGAATCGTCCCAATAACTTCTCCTCCGGCTCGTTGTCCTCCACAATTACCTGAACGTTATACGCCGATCTGAAGTACAAAGTGTTAGCGTATGCCAGAGACGGACAAACCACAGACATCAGATCACCGGAGCAAGAAGACGACGACGACGAATTGGAAGAGGCAACCATTGGAGCAAACGCATCTTTGTGCTTTGAAGAGGATTCAGTGGAGAGAGAGATGTTTGACGGTGGAGCTTTGGAAGGCTGTGGTGGAGCTTTTAATGGTGTGAAAATGGATAGGAAATTGGCTAAAACTGAAGAAGCCATTGATGCAATGCAACAAACGAACTCGAACGAATGACCCTCTTATCTCTGAAACAACAGGTTGATAAGCCAAAAGCCCTGGCCCCTGAATCGAAATGGATAAACTGAGTTGACTCGGTTTTTCTCCGTTTTATGGGCTGGATCAAGTGGTTGGGCCTTATCCATTAACGGATTTGGATCTTATGTGGTAATTAGCGTTTTTTAGTCCATTTAATATGCAATAAGATTATCCCAAATTTAAATATCATTTGACAGAAAAAAAAACATCACTCTATATATATTCATACAATTTTAAGTAAAAAATATTATAATATATACACAGGCTTAGGGTAAGCCTGTTTGACAGTTGTTGAATGGTTTGGTACAGAATGATTAAGTTGTCAGAATAATTAAGAGACTCCCATGATATATTGCAAAATGAAATATAATTGTTTGATAATTGTTTACAATGAAATTAGGGCGTTGAATGGTTAAGGGGGACACATGATAAAAAAATTATTCAGAGAGTTTTAGAACCATTAAGAGGCAGATTTTTTTTTTTTTTTGCTAAACAAGATTCATCTTTTAACGATTCAGGTGTTGCTTTTTAATGGAACCATTTGAAAACTTTGAGATTCATGGGAACTTCTATTTTGAGATTTTGTTCACATGAATTTTTTTCCATCTAAGGGGTTGTTTGCTTACCTCTTAATAGTTTCATTAAGAAGTAGTTCATGAGTCGTTAAGAGGTGAATCTTTGTTTGACAAAATTATTTTGTATCATGTGCCTCCCATAACCATTTAACGCCTTAATTTCATTGTAAACAATTACCAAACGATTATATTTCATTTTACATTACATTATTATAATCTCTTAATCATTCTAATCACTTAATCATTATGCACCAAACCGTTCAACAACTGCCAAACAACCCTTAATAGTATTTAACTCGTTGATTCACATATATTTGTTTCACAATGTGTTTGTTTCATATGTTTTCGTTTCACAATGTGAATCCTTTTTATGTGTACTTTTTCTTTCATTAACAGATCAAAAAAGTTCACATTATAAACCCAGTACACGTGGAAAAAAAACATATTTTAAGACAAATATATATTAATCAATATTCTAAATCATAGTCTTAGATGATAAAAAAAAAATCATATCAAACAACACATAATACACAAGTTCTCACAATTGTATGGATGATAAGTGTCGTTTATATGACGTGTTACTGTTACTGTTACTGTTACTGTTACTGTAATGTTAGTTTTGACCTCCACTTGAGATGTTCGAAAACGGCACTGACACTTGTTCTTGGGTGACACACAAAAAGGTACAAGTTGCAAAAAGAATCATGTCTGAAAAGGATATAAATTTCCAGAATATCAAGTGTCGAAATGTTATAGGTCAACTAAAGATGATGTCGACTTTCACGACACCCTCCGTAAGTCATAAGTTAAAGAAAAGAATCACGTCTAATAAAAACCATATAATATTGGTTATAGAAATACTTTATAGAGGCATGTGTGTGACACATAAATCAAAGCATCACTCACATGCCTTCATATTCATGTTGTTTATCTTCATTTATCGTATAACTAAACGTAATCATCAACGGGACTTTCTTCCAACGGTATGTGAGTATTTGGCCTCCTAAAAAGTCAATGGTTCAAGGCTCACTAAAAATAAGGAGGGTGTGTGAGTTTATTTGTTCTATTTAAATCAACTGTATTTGATAGGAGATAAAAATACAGTAATGTTTATTAATGCATGTTACTTAAAAACTCAAGATTACAAGTAGATTGTGTATAAGTACAACTTATTAAAGCTCCATATCTGAATTCGTATAATTGACTGTAGATAAACATGATCAAATACAGGATAAACATCTCATTTTAAATATAAAAAAATCTAAAATATAGTTAGGATAATCATTGAGTTCTAATATAATACTTAATTAATATCTTTATAAAATATTATATTATTAAACCAAAAATAAATTATTTCATTATTAAATTTAAATTAAATTATAATAAAAAATAAATTAAAGAAATTATACAAAAAAAATAAAAACTTTTAAATAGTTGATTTGATATTAATATTGATATTTTTTTCTCAAATTTTTATAATATCTTCAAATTTATATTTATTAAAAAATAAAATCATTACTACTTTCTTAAAAACACATGAAATCGTATTATAACATCGATAGAGACAAAGAATAAAATAGAACATTAAAATCAATATGTATTTCGTTGCATTGCACGAGTACTCTAATAAAAAAATATTTGATAATTAACTAGAACGCCTTTTAAATTTAATTAATGGATGATTAATTTTTTTTAATTTAATAATATTAAAGGGGGAGAACAAAAATATAGTACAGTGTATAAGTAACAAAGAAGTTAAAAACGACATCGTTGTGTATGAAGAAAATATTTTGTTTGAACTTTGATGTTTATTGAAGAAAATTTGGTTCACACGTGGTTTGTCAAAAATAATGTTTTTTATGAGAAAAGTTTAAAAAATTCAAAAGAAAACATTTAATCCTTAAATTATTTATTAAAATTAAAAAACAATTAATTTTTTTAAATAAAAAAATAATTAAACTTTCTTTTTTTATTGATCAAGTCTCTTAACATTTTTTTAATAAATAAATCAATGCACTTTTATGAATTGATTATTTATATTCTTTTAATCTAAAAATGTTAAATTAACCAACTCGTAAAAGTTTTATAGTTTATTTATTTAAAAAAAATCCAGGATCTTAATTATTAAAAATGTGAAAGTTTAATGATTTTTCATTCAAAAAAATAATTCATGTACTTAATCATTTAATACGAGAAAGTTTAATGATTTTTTCATTCAAAAAAATAGTTTGTGAACTAAACCATTTAAAATGAGAATTTTTTTTGGATTTTTTTGGACTTCCACCTTTTTTTTATTAACCTGGATATTCAACCCGCTATGCGAGCCAATTAATCCTAAGACGACCACCAGGGTAGCCCGAAATCACTGTATTTGAACCTCCGTTGTTACAAGAGAATTTTTATTCTTTATTGGATTTGAACGTGGGATCTCCAGACACATTTGACCTTTAGCGTTCGAGCTCAAACCAATCAGGCACCAAATTTCTTCCTTTTTTTTATCTATATAGTTTTAAAATTTTAAGATGGTTATCATGGTTTGTAAAAAAAACTTGGTTTTAGTATCCTCTCTTTGATAGCAGTTAATTCTTTTTGTTAAGTGAGTAACATCTTCGTCTTTTTTATAATTTTTTTCTCTTACCCATTAAAAACCGAAAGGACTAAAATCACAATATTGTTTTCGATTAGATAAAAGACAAAAGAAATTGATAAAATGACGAAATACTCCTCATTTGACGGAATTTTCTAACAACCATTAGAGAGAGCGATAAAATTCCACAAACTGACGCATGAGACTCACCCTTTACTTGGGAATAGAGAGATAAAACATTTTTTTTATTAACCTGAATATCCAACCCATTATGCAAACCGACTAATCCCATAACGACCACCTGCTTTACAGGTAGCCCGAAGTCACCGCATTTGAACCTTCATGGCCACAAGGGGATTTTTATTCATCTTTAAATTTGAACCTGAGACCTCCAGGCACTTAACACTTCTAATTTTTTTTGTTTACAAGAACATGGAAACTTACATAAAAATAGCAAATTTAATTTAATTTAAAAAACATATTTTTAAAAGACATATTAAAGGGTTTATAATTATTTATTTCATTACCTAATTCTGACGTCATCTAAGTAAATTTGATTTTTTTAAGTACGTCGTGTGAAAAAAAAAAGATTTTAAACTATAACATTTAATTATTTATTTTAAAAAACATGTTTCCTAAAATATAAATTAAATAAAAAAACACATTATTTTGTTTATGTAATACTAGAAGAGTACTCGCGCAATGCAGCGAGATACATCGTGTTTTTAATATTTCAT